ACCCCCCCCCCCTCCCCCGCCCCTCTCTCTCTTTTTCAGGTGTATTGGTCATACAGTGCAAGACCTATATTTTATGTCTTTCTTTAAAAAAAATGCAACTTTCACTTGGCATATTCTATTCTTTCTTTCTGTGATACATTTGTCATCTGACGTTATCCATGTATAAATCCTATCTTGACATATGGAAGTGAATCATGGATAGGTAGTAGATCAGTGAAAATTATTTCAAAGCTGAGGAGATGTGGTTTTATAAACAAATGATAATACCCTGGACAGATAAACAGAGTAAGGAGGATGTCTTGAAAGAAACTGACACAACCAGAGAGATGAATGGAGGTTGGTGATATCTGCAGCAATGAACCTCAAGGGCTTGGGACACTAAAGAAAAAGAAGAAGAAGAAGAAAAATTGTCAATGTGGAAATAAAAAATAAAGGGACTGTCAATTTACCAAAAACAATTAACAGTGATACCTTCCGTACCTTTTAATTTTCATGTTCCTTAACCTTTTAATTTTCATAATTTTTAACCTTTTAATTTTCATGAATTAAAAAAAAAAGTTTAAAACATGCAGTCAATATGTTCTTCTGTGCTTTCAGGTACATTTGGCATATAGGGCTTAATTTATATTTGATACACTAGTCAGCACTTGGTGGGTGATGTGGTCAACATAACACCAGCCGCCTTGACTTCCCAGACATTTACCTGGACATATTTAAAGCCAGTTGACCTGGGAGCCAAGGAAAATTCTTTAAAAAAAAAAAGTCCTGAACCTGCAACCTTCAGACCCGTAGGCGAGCATCTAACTGCTACACTACAGCGGCTCCCATAAAGGGCTGTAATATTTATTGTATACACATGAGACAGAACAAAATGGGGCGTAAACACCAGTGGGGCTGCCCCAAAGGTAAGCAGATATGAATGATAGCATGTACATCATAATAAACAGACAAAAGGAGATACATGTATTGCACTGAAGTATGAACATCATAATGACAGAAAAGTCATCAGACTAGAATCCAAAATGTGAATTCAACTTCAACATCTGCACCTTCTTCTTTTATAGAACTATTCCTATCAACAAAAGACTATGGCATGCTCAGTCTGCAGAAAGTTTGTCGATTAAACAAAAACAGGTAAGCAGCACATGAATAAGAATGATTTAAACATAATACAACTGAACAGAGTCATATATGTAGAAATCCTATCTTGATATATGGAAGTGAATCATGGACATTTGGTAAATTAGTGAAAACTTTTTTGGAAGTTGCGGAGATGTGGTTTCGTAGACGATTTATGAGGATACACTGGACAGATAAAAGGAGTAATGAATGTCATGAAAGAAACTGGCTCATGAAGAACGAAGAGAACTGATTACCCACATCACAAAGAGACAATCTGCATTCTTTCAAAATGTGATGAGAAGGAGAAAACTACAGTACACCGTGACAGTCGGAAAGTTGGAGGGGAGAAGAGGCAGACAGAGAGAAAAGATGCTGGACAGTTTGACATCATGGCATGGAGGATCATCTGTGCCAGAGGTGATTGAAAGAACACGAGCCAGAAGACTGTGAATGGACATGACTACCAATGCCACACGGTATGGATTTTGAGAAGAAGAAACAAATTCAGAAATGACTACTCAGTCAGCTTCTTACTATGGGTTGGTGTAAAGACAAAACGTGCTAACGACATAGCTTTCTGCAAACTTATTCATCTTGTGCTTTTTTTTTTAAAGAATTATTAATCTTTACCCACTGTTTGTTTCACTGAGATTTGTATCTTTCCAGTGATTGTTTCTCTTAAAACTGTTCTTCTTCTAGTAAGATTGTCTCTTCTTTATCTAAAGTTAGCTTCTCTGGGAACCTTTTTTTTTTTAAATCTGAGATATTGAAAAATAATATATAATGTTTGCTTAGTCATATAGTCTTTGTTTCTCTGAGATCTTTCCTTGTTCATCCATCTAGTGCTTTTTTCTCTGCAATTTTCATTTCACCAGTGCTCCTTTCTATGAGATATTTTCTTCACTATTATCTAGTGCTTTTCTTCTTCATCTAGACTCTTTCTGCAAGATCCTTTCTGTTTCATCAATCAGAGCCTCTTTTCTTAGATCCATACACAATATACCATTGACAGTAACTAACAATGGAATGATTGACTACAAAATGATGGAGTATTACTGCAGGTTTACTGTGACGTAAATGAAGGTCATGGGTACATTTCACAGCAGTGCCCTTAAGTTCACGAGTGCAATTTTTGTGGAGATCTCTGGGGATCATCGCTGAAGCGACGGAGCTTGTGATCTGTGCAGTGCTCTTGGCAGATGGCTAGCCGTTCTGCGGACATAACCTGAGCCATAGGGGATAAAACCCAGTGCAATGAAGTCAGACTTCTCAACTTTAACCCTTAACCTTTAAACTTTTAACTGTGATATATAAGCCTGACCAAGAATTCAAATCAAACCCCCTTGACTACCAGCCCTACCCTGTCTGGACTTCAGGTTACCTTGTAACCATCGAGAGTCCCAATATAACTGCACGGTTTAATGGTGTTTCTGGGAGATTCTCATCTGACTAATGACATATTGCACCTTGTGTCACCGGGTGTTGATTGCTCAATGTGTGGTACTAGTGGGGGGTTTATTTTCACTTAGCGACTCAAAACAAGCCTCAAAATCATAACAGAATCATCAGTAAATGCTTTATGGAATCACTATTACACTCAAAGACCATTTAACGCTGGGATGGGATTGGATAACTGCTCAATATTAGGAGACTAACTTCAGTCAGTCAGTACTGTCACAATGTGATTTTTTATGATGGCCTTAATTTCTAGCAGTACACATTTAATTATTTTTTTTTTAATTTACCATATTACGGACAGACCAGAACAAGTCATTATTCTATGCCATAGAACAGGACACAATTGGCTTCATAGCCACATGTACACAAAAATTAAAATCGGCGAATCAGCCATGTGCTCATGTGGACTGGCACCTGAGACAACAGATCACATCCTCCAAGACTGTCCCAAATACAACATATCAAGGCAAAACTTTTGGCCAAGAGAAAGAAAAACACCGGTGCAAGCCAAACCTTGCGGGTCACTGAATGAATTTACAAAAGACAGTGAAGTTCATATTAGAGACAGCCTTATTTCAAGTGAATGAAAGAAAAAGATTTTCTCTTGTAATAAGAACTAATTGTTGGCCAGCACTTAGCTACCAGTGTCAAACATGGACCCTCACTACAACTTCTTCTTTTTATAGCCCATACTTTGTGGCGCTGGTAGTCATGTATATCCACAGCCTTCTGTCTCATGTGCTTTAAATCAGTTCCGGACATATAATCTTAGATGCCATGATATCAAACTGCCCAGCATCTTCTCCCTTGGTCTCCCTCTGCCTCTTTTCCCCTCTAACCTTCCCACTATCATAATGTGCTTCAGTTTTCTCCTTCTCATGACATGACCAAAGAATTCTGCTGCTCTGTAGCCTGAATAATGGTGGTGACATTCATAAAAAAGTTGTAAATTAAAGTATGAAGAGTATTTGTTCAACAGAGAATATCTGTTCAACAGACTATGTTCAGCACAAACATCTCTCTGTTTGTTCAAAAGGTTATATTCTGTATGACCATCTTGGTGATTATTTAATGGACTATGCTCTGGATGACCATCTTGGTGATTATTTAATGGACTATGCTCTGGGTGACCTTCTTGGTAATTGTTAAACAGACTATGCTCTGGGTGACCTTCTTGGTAATTGTTAAACAGACTATGCTCTGGGTGACCTTCTTGGTAATTGTTAAACAGACTATGCTCTGGGTGACCTTCTTGGTAATTGTTAAACAGACTATGCTCTGGGTGACCTTCTTGGTAATTGTTAAACAGACTATGCTCTGGGTGACCTTCTTGGTAATTGTTAAACAGACTATGCTCTGGGTGACCTTCTTGGTAATTGTTAAACAGACTATGCTCTGGGTGACCTTCTTGGTAATTGTTAAACAGACTATGCTCTGGGTGACCTTCTTGGTAATTGTTAAACAGACTATGCTCTGGGTGACCATCTTGGTAATTGTTAAATAGACTATGCTCTGGGTGACCTTCTTGGTGATTTTTTAACAGACTATGCTCTAGATGACCATCTTGGTGATTATTTAACAGACTATGCTCTAGATGACCATCTTGGTGACTGTTCAATGGACTATGCTCTGGATGACCAACTTTGTTACTGTTCAACAGACTATGCTCTGGATAACTATCTTGGTGACTGTTTAACAGACTATGCTCTGGATGACTATCTTGGTGACTGTTCAACAGACTATGCTCTGGGTGACCATCTTGGTGACTGTTCAACAGACTATGCTCTGGATGACCATCTTGGTGACTGTTCAACAGACTATGCTCTGGATGACTATCTTGGTGACTGTTCAACAGACTATGCTCTGGATGACCATCTTGGTGACTGTTCAACAGACTATGCTCTGGGTGACCATCTTGGTGACTTTTCAATAGACTATGCTCTGGATGACCATCTTGGTGACTGTTCAATAGACTATGCTCTGGATGACCATCTTGGTGACTGTTCAATAGACTATGCTCTGGGTGACCATCTTGGTGACTGTTCAACAGACTATGCTCTGGATGACCATCTTGGTGACTGTTCAACAGACTATGCTCTGGGTGACCATCTTGGTGACTGTTCAATAGACTATGCTCTGGGTGACCATCTTGGTGACTGTTCAATAGACTATGCTCTGGGTGACCATCTTGGTGACTTTTCAATAGACTATGCTCTGGGTGACCATCTTGGTGACTGTTCAATAGACTATGCTCTGGATGATCATCTTGGTGACTGTTCAATACACAATGATCTGCATGACTGTTTTGTTGAACTGTGAACTTTTCTTTAATGATACAGATGTAAGAAATGTCCTAGCAGTAGATAAGGCACCGATGTAGAAAACAATGTCTGGAATCACTAGTTCAACCCAAGGCCCTGCTACAATTCCTCAAAGAAAGCAACCCGGGCTTTAGCAGTGTTGGCTGTCACCTGTGGAAGAAAAGAAACAAACTGCCATTACTGCCTGTATTTAAAAAAAAGTTTCTTTCCTTCAGGATTTCAGTCTGTAGGATTAACATCTGAACGATGAGAATCACACAAGTACACCTCTACAGCCATATTGCACAGTTATACTGGGGCATGGCAAAAAGGTTATGAAGCAACTTGTAAGCTAGATTGGGTGGGTTCGTGTCCTGTATTTACCACTTCTGTGCAGGTAAGGGAAGGGAGAGACTTCTTAAAACCTGATGATTTACAGCCGCATGGCTAGAGCAGTCACCATAGACTGTGCAGGTTCAGATTAATTTTTTCACCATCAACAGAAAAACTCATAATCTTAGAGGATTCGAACCTGGCTCTCATGCACGAGATCCCAGTGGTTTTAACCCTTCATCCAATAGCTCCTCATAGGGAAGGATAAATGAAATTAAAATTTTCTTCAGGTTTGACTATGCAGAAATAAACAGCTAGGGAACCCTTGGGGCCATACAAACAGTACAATAAACACAATAAAATCTATTATTAAGTAGAGATAGAAAGACATACTGACAACATACAAATAAAAAGTGACTCGAACTTGTCACTGCCAAATAATGATGGCACCTCAATACAGGAACAGCGAGTGCCCGTTGTCTTCTGCCTTGTATCCCCCCAATGGAGCACAGGCTCTTAACTCCACATCACCAATCTATACATGTTACACAATAACTCATACAATCAATAAATAGAGGGGGGAGTGCCGTTCACAATACTTTCTGTTACTTGATTAACTCATACAATCAGCATGTCCAGTCTTGCTTGGCTAATGAAGAAAGGGACAGAGCACCTGTGTCAGAAATCATTTCCTCATTGTTTGAAAATCAGGACAATTACTAAACATAAATTATGTGCAAGAATTCAGATAAATGGCCTTGATTACTAATTATAATAAATGTGTGAACATATTAAGTGAGCGATGCTACTTCGAGACAAATGTGCAGTTAGGCTGAGGAGGAAGAGGAAGAAGAAGGAGGAGGAGGAGAAGATGAAGAAGAAGGAGGAGAAGGAAAAGAAGAAGAAAAAAAAGGAAGAAGAAGAAGAAGGAGGAGGAGGAAGAAGAAGAAGAAGAAGAAACGCTAAAATCTAATTAAAGAAAAATATATAGAAAAGAAAAAGCATACCTTTCTCAGGGTAGAATACTTGGAATCACCTCTCTGAATGCTCTCATCATGTAACCTGTCTAATGTATTGGCTCTGTCTTCAACTTTCAGCACTTCTATTTCCGACCTCAGGTCTTTCAACTGATCCTGAAGGGTCTTGCTTTTGGATAAGTACTCCCGCCTTAAATAATAATAATACAGAAAACATAGACGTTCATTTTACAGACGAATGATGAGAATACCCTGGATAGATTACAAAAATTAATGAAAATGTCATGAAAGAAACTGATTTATGAAGAGAACTGATTGCCCACGTTGGAAGGGGACAATTTACATTCTTTGATCCTGTCATGAAAAGGAGAAAAGCTGGAGTGGAAGAGAGACCGAGGGAGAGACAGAGAAGATGCTGGACAGTCTGACATCATGACATGGAGAATCATCTGTGTCAGAGTTGACTGAAAGTACACAAGACAGAAGGTTGTGGAAAGACATGACTACCAACACCACACAGCTTGGAATTTAAGATGAAGATGTGAAACATATTTTTTCAAAGCTATCTTTGCTGTCTGTATTTACAACTTTTCAATTTGAACTGTGCAGTAGGATGGGGGGTCTTAAGCGTGAGGATTTACGTTCACATGGCTAGTGCAGTCACCATGGAATAGTGCAGATTAGAATTTTATTTTTGCCCGCCTGACAGACAGAAAAAAATCATCACCTTAGCAAGAATTTGAACTGGAGTCTATTGAATGATAGCCCAACAGTCTTAACTGCTTGGCCAGCGGATCCTCAAATATGTGCACGAGTGTAAAAGAATTTAATGTTGTGGTCAACATCCCACCAGCCACCTTTACTGCCTAGGACATTTACCTGGTCGATCTCAACTGATACTATTCTTGGCAGTTCTCCTTTTTGTTCACCAGTTGTAAGCTCTGGCGGGACAATGTGGATCATCAACCTACCTCTCCTTCTCAATCTCAAATGACAACTGGTCCATGTTCCCAGAGAAGAGTTCCCCATCAAACAAGGAGCCTCCAGCTTCCACATACTGTAGTGACGAGGTCATGTCCGAAGCCAGGCCAGGAAAGGTAAAGTTCTGAAAATGAAACAAACCAGAAAGTTCTTGAACTACATTTCTACCGTCAGACTGTTTGTGTTAGCACTTCTGATGGCTGCTCTACGCTTTAATGCGTGTATATGCTAGTGGAAATGCTGAGACTGCAGCCTGTGTCAATTTTTCTACAAGAGACATTGATGGACATTGCGTGGGTTTTTCGTTGGCACAGCAGCGGAGCAACTATGGGGTGACCCGTCTGATATGAAGCTGAAACAAAGATTACCAGATTGCCAGATACTCTAGAAAGTTAAGGCACCTAGCTTGACTTTCCCTTATCAGCCATCAAGTGCAGCAGAAAAGCAAGAAGACAGAATCACCAACAAAGAACCCAAGGAACAAAGGTAGGCAAAGTACCTGCATTTGATTTCACAGAACCTCAAAGAATCAATTGGTTTGGTCATCTGTTCAGCATGGAACACAATTAGCCGGCAACTAGAGTGTATCATCTGAGAACAGCAGACTAAAAATCAAGAAATCGACCAAAAAGGACATGGGTGGAGGGAGTAAAAGAGACATTACAGAAAGGCAATATCACATTAACACAAGCTACCCAACTAGAAGGAGACAGTCATCATTTTTCGGCCATGTTATGAGAAGAGGGAAAATAGAACATGTGACCACTGGAAAGATATGTGGAAGGAGAGATAGAGGAAGACAACGAGAGAAGATGCTTGACAGTTGTTGCATGGCATGGAGGTGTGTCGGCACACGAACTGATACATGCTGCAGGAGATCGCAGATTATGGAGAGGCATGATCGCCCACGCCAGTCGGCAAGGCACCCGATGATGATGATGACCCAACTAGCAGAAGAAAGGAAACTCCCTCTCTCCGGGACACTTTATGAAATAAGCAGTAGCACACAGGAAAAAGCAACCATCAAGTGACATTTAATCTATAAAAATAAGGGGGTCAGTACCTAATGTCCAGTATGACGCATGGCATGAGATGTGAAATACGGCCAGGTCTTAGGCTTCCAAAGGTTAGAAAGGTTATGGTTTGTGCTTCTTACACAAAATACAAGGGGATGTCAATAAGTAAGTCACAAATGGTTGTTTAATAAAAACCAGAGATGATAACAACTTAAAAATTATTTATTTTTACACAAACACTGTCCCTTTATTTTTTTAGCATAATTTCCACCAACATTGATGCACTTGTCCCATTGTCCCAAACCTAGAACTGCATGCTCTGTTTTCTAAACCACATTTTCACTTCACCTTCAACTTCTGCTTCATTCACGAAATGTGTCCTGCCAATCGATCATGCATTATGTTGTATGCAGAACCATGTGAGCACCATATTGCAGCTGCTACAGAGTCAACCATTACTCACCTGTCACCTCTAATCATCTCCACCCACAGCATGGATGTATCTATTGAAATCTCAACAGGATGACCAGATCGGATGACACCAACAATTTTAGTGCATTCTTGAGAAATATTTTTTACCCAGCTATGCACCGCTTTGCGAGATAAACATTTGTCAGCATAAACAGGAAGCATTTCCTTATGAATGTCCTTTGCAGGCAGCCCTTTTGCCTTCCCACCCACCCCCCTCCAAAAAAAAAAAGCACAGCATTTCATTGTTCTTTGAGGATACACTCCGTAAGTATAGTCGCCATTTTGTTTCTGTGTTGCGAATGCACAGGCAATACCTAACGCCACATTATGAAAGGAGACATACAGTTTGATGTTGCTGTCACCTAATGACACCTTTAGAAACCATCAGCTAAATTTTCCTGCAATCCAGTAAACATTTGTGACTTATTTATTAACTTCCCTTGGTATCTTTGTTTATGCCCCATATGTGTTTACTGACTGTTGACCACGTATGGGTTCCAGGCTCCATTTAGAGAGGAAAAACTCAACAGGCAGACTCCACCACCCCTCCCCAGCAAGCATGTCATTACAAAAGGCAATTGCTTAGGTGTATTTCCTTCAAAGTTGGAGTACATCTGCCTAAGAGTCAAGGAAGGAACTAACAGTCTGCATAGAAATAAGGCAAATCTGTAATATGGATATGCACACAAAAACTGAAGTTCTTGAGGAAGAAAAGACAACTAAAGCCCCAGGCAGATGGATGACCAATAAATGCTCAGAAATGTGAGTGAAGAAATAAGAGAAATATCTGGGCAACTATTAGTATCAACAGTTATAAAACAGAAAAGATAGCGCTACACTGACACATACTGAGAAGAAACCAGCAGAGAATTACCAAGCAGGCATTAGAATGGGAAATAAAGGGATTAAGGGGGCGAGGATGCCCAAAAGAAACGAACATTGATGAGGGCGAGGATGCCCAAAAGAAACGAACATTGATGAGGGCGAGGATTCCCAAAAGAAACGAACATTGATGAGAAAGGCTAAAGCTGTAGGACTGGATTCCATCCACGATATTAAACCGATTGCATAGGATAGAAGAGAATGGACGAATAGACTGTTAGTCCTATGTGACATAGAATAGTATAACAGGATAATTCTTCTTCTTCTTCTCTTCCACCTTTTACCTCATCGAAGTGTCAGGGGGAGATGTAATGTTCGTTGATGGGCTCAGTCAAGAGCACTATTAAGACTGATGTTCATTTCTGTAAGGCTGTTCTTAATGCCATCACTCCATAATTTCCAAGGTCTTCCACTCATTCTATACCCGTTGTAATGTTTTAGTGTTGCTAACTGTGGCAGATAGTACCAGGGCATTCTTCTTAGGTGTCCAAACCATTTAATTTGTTGTTCTTTAATGACTTGTAACACTGGCTTTATTCCTAGTCTTTCAGGTATAATGAATGAAAAATGATAAGACAGAAGAATGCACTTACTGATGTGTAATCCCCAGGTGTTCCATGTGTTATTTTCTGAGTCAGTTCCATTAATTTTCCTTTCGCAGCTTTTTCTGATAATTTTGCTTTCATTAACTCCTCTCTCAAATGCTCTGCCTCTCTGGCCCTGTTGAACATTACAATGATAAAAGTCAATAAAATATTACAACAAAGAACAAACTAACGCAAACAAAATATAAAAAAATGTTTTTTGCTTTGCAAATATGAAAAAAAAAGACACAAACAGGCCACACCACTTTTCATTATCTGGCTTATTTTGCTGCATCTCATTAAGTGCATGCTACAGAATTGAAATTTGAAATGCCAAGCGCACACACACACACACACACAAAAGTCAATGGTAATAAATTTATACAAAAAGTAAGTAATGAAGTAAAAGGGGCATTCTTCATGCCTTTAGGCGTACTGGGCATATAGGGCTATACTTATATTTTACAGACCAATTGACACTCGGTGGGTGATGTGGTCACCAAATTAAATACTGAACTGGCTTAGTTCGACATTAGTCTCCCCAGACCCCGCCCATAAACACACTAGCTCACTTTTGATTGGTAGTTCTCGAGCCTGGTGACCTTGGTACACGGTCACAGGGGTGTTCGGCAATGCTGTTAGATATTGCGTGTTATATATTTAAGCAAGCCAGTGCTTTTAATACTCCAAAAACATGGAGAAACTGGGTCTAACACAACCCCTCTCGGAATGAAAAAATTAATTCAAGACATCGCAGAAATTAAACAACAGAGCAGGACACACCCGTAACCTTCAGGAAAGTCATCTAGCCCAACAAACCTGTGAATGAAAAGTGTGACCTACTCTATATGGGGAGACTAATGCCGAACTAACCCTAAACTGTTCGGATTACAGAGCAGAAATATTTAAACTGGGTCTAACACAATCCCTCTCGGAATGAAAAAAATTAATTCAAGACATCGCAGAAATTAAACAACAGAGCAGGACACACCCGTAACCTTCAGGAAAGTCATCTAGCCCAACAAACTTGTGAATGAAAAGTGACCTACTCTATATGGGGAGACTAATGTCGAACTAACTCTAAACTGTTCGGATTTACAGAGCAGAAATACAATGAGAGCTGAAGTTCGCACAACTGGTCTCAAGTCAACAGCAGACCAAGACATTTGATCAGTTTATGCCATTTTGATGGTGCCTCATTGTCGCTACTCTCTGATTCCGATGATGTGGACGTCGGAAAGGCAAACGACTCTTTCTTGGCCATGCCGGTTTGTCTTGTTGATGTTGACAGCCTAGTCAAATTTTGTTCACTGTCAGAAGTACACATTTTAAAGTCATCTTCGTTATCACTCCTTGACAGAAACTCCATTAATTCTTCATCATCTTTAACAAGTTTTCTTGCCATTTTGTATTAACGAAATGCAGAATAGTCCAAAACCAAAAATATATATTAGGGCACAAAAAACAGATCACCGACCACGCTGCCACGGTAAACAAAGCGACAGGATAATGCGAAATGCCGTGAAAACACCTTAAACACACCTAAATGCATGTGACAGTGTTTTTTAATCATATGTAATGAGTCAATTAGATATAAATATAGCTAATGTGTATTGCCCTTTGACCCCTGAGTAACAGTCCACTGAACTCTGTAAGAAAAGTAAAAAAAAACATGTTTTTATGTCCATAGTACTGGGAGTCAAGAAAAAAAAAAATTACGTCCAGAGACATCCATAGCAACGTACGTGAAAACGGGCCCATAGCAGGGAAAGGATTAAGGTTGGGTCGACCTGGGAGCCAAGGTCATTTCTGAAAAAAGGTCAGGACCTAAACTCAGGACCTTAGGATCTGCAGGCCAGCAGCTAGCTGCTACACCATGGTGGCTCCCAAAAAATGTAAATACCCCAGGAGGAAAAGTTACTACAAATAAGGAATTCTGAAAAGGATGTAGCATCCAGAAAAAACAAAGCAAACTAAGGATCTCCCATGCTTTACAATACATGAAAGTCAAAGGACTTAGTTTGAAAACTCAGATTACATGAAAGCAACACTTTAAGAATATTATTATACAACAATCAGAAACAACCAAATAGCGACTTAACCCACCAAGAGATGAAAACACTAATACAAGCTAGTATCCAAGAAAGGTGGCTGGATACATACACCAGATTTTCTTCCCAAGACTCACTTCATCGCCTCTCTAGACAGGGACAGTGTATTATATTCAGACTAAGGACAGGGCGCATCAGATTTCGTCAACATATGTTCAAATTTTTTGGTGTAGGAAATACGGAGACGTGTCCCTGCAGCGTGGCACCCGAAAATGCTGAGCATGTGCTCCAACACTGTCAACCGTATGCTGACAACAGAGACGCAATCTGGCCTGTTCCAACCACACTGAAGACAAAACTGTATGGTACACGAGAGGATATGGATTGCACGATAGCTTTCATAAAGGCTAAAGGCCTCCTGATATAAGTTTTCTGACAGAAGGATCGAAGGAGAAGCAAAAGAAGAGTTGGAAATGACAGCAGGAATTAAACATAAACCAGAGACTTTTCAAAACAAATGTCTAAGGAGAACCCTGTGAATATTTTTGGCCAAACAAGATCACAAATGAAAAACCAAGAGGGAAAACTAAATGAAATGTTCACCACTGGCAAAAGTTATCAAAGAAAGAAGATGGAGATGGCTTGGACAAGTTTGCAGAATGTCATTTGACACTTTGGTAAGGACAGTTAGTCAGTGGATGGCAGATGGACAAAGGAGACAAGGACAACCTGAGGAAATCTGCAGAATGACAGCAGAAAGGGAAATGAAGGAATGTAAAATGAGTTGAGCTGAGTTGAGTAAAGAACCGACATCACAGCACTCAGGGCATTCCCATAAGCGCTCCATCCCCATCTTCAGCAGCCAGTGAAGACTTCCAATACTAATGGTGCCAGTAGCCTTCTGATTAAATGTCCGTCTTGCTTTTTCTCTGAGCCTCGAGCATCTGCCAGAACCTCTCATCGCTCCCCACTGCATTAATTTCACCAGACTAGTGATCCATCTGCTCCTTCAAACTGTACATGCTCTCCCACAAGGCGCTAACCACGTCTGCCTTTTCAAACATCAGTATTCCACCTAGTTGTGCAGAGCCAGCCAGTCTGTCCGCCTGTTCTTTTCCCAACATACCGGTGTATCCCAGTGAAAAAATACATGCCATGGATAAAATTACATGGGATACCATAGGCAGAAAAGCAGCAGATCTGCAGCAATGGAGATCACTTGTGAATGTCTTATGCGTCAAAAGCGACACAAAAAGGTAACAGATAACTGAGTCGAGTCGAGTCAAGAACTGACATCACAGCACTAGGGACATTGCCATGTGTGCTCCGTCCTTATCTGCAGCAGCCAGTGCAGAGCTCCGATACTGATGGTCCGGTCACAATCTGGTTATATGTCCATCTTGCTTTTCCTCTGAGTTTAGTGAGCCGGCCAGACCCTCTGGTCACACCCAGGTGCCTCATTCTCTCCAGGCCATAATAATCTTGTTAGGTAATACATGGATGGTAATAAGTCTGTTTACAATAGACGCTGGAAGATACAGAAGAAAGGTGCATTTTATTATACAATCCATCCTGTGTGGAACCTGGCAATGACGTCTGTCTTGTGTACTGTCAATCATTTCGGAAATGACCTGGGAGCATAAGTCGGTTCTTCTATGTCAAACTTTCAATCATATTTTCTCTTGGTCTTCCAGAATACCATGGACAAAGAAGAGAAGAAATACTGACATCTTGAGAAGTCTGAAAATTAAGGAAGATTGGCCAGTAAACTGCATCTGGTCTCAAAAACTAAAATATTTTGGCCAGATGAAAGGACACAGCCGATCAGAAAGAATAGTAGCAGAAGACATGTTGCCAGGAAAGTGGAGCAGGGACCGATCAAAACAAAGATGGCCTAAGGATATTATATCACTGACACCTAGGGTAGGACAGTGCACACGGTCGGAGAGCTGGCCAGGGACTGAGTTTCTTTCAGGAAGGCTGTGCTGACAGTGATGTCGTGCACAGGAACTGCTACAAGATGACGACGACGCAGTAAAGGTCGCTTTTCCACGCCTTTAGGCGTATAGGGAATATAGGGCTAGACCTATATTTTTTATAGACCAATCGGCACAAGATAGGTGATTTGGGCAGCACCGCGCTAGCCGCCATTAATTCCCGGGACTGCACCCGGTAACCACTCATGGCTAGGTTGACCTGGGAGTCAAGGTTATTTTTGAAAAAGGCTGGCACTGCCAGGGAGTGAACCCACGACCTTCCGATCCACGCGTGAGCGTCTAGCTGCTATGCCACAGTGTCTCCCTAATAATAACGGAGTATTCAAAGAAATCAGAAGGGAAGTGCATAAGTGGTTCACAGCTCACCTTTTCTCAGAATCTTCTAAGATGGCAGCAGCAATTATTTCTGCATCATGAGCCCTCTGTTCCATGTACATTCTCTCTTCCTCCGTCTGAAGAGAATAAGCAACATTCAGTTATGAAGCATTACAATAACGTTACATAACTGTGAGTTATTGGGATGGCTCTGTTAGAAGTTAGTCATAATTAATATTGTTACAAAGGCAGCTGTGGTGACGTAGCAGGTAGTTGCTTGCCTGCCAGCCCGAAAGTCTTGGGTTCATTCATTCTGCTTCCGTTATGTCTAAGTGACAGGGCTCTCTGTGGCACACTGTCTGGTGGTAATACTGAAACATGTCCAAACCATTTGATCTGCTGTCTCTTGATTTAGTTTAGTACTGCTTCCATCCTACCTTCTTTCATGACATCCTAATTCTGATCCTGTCTCTTGTAGTAATATTTAGGCTTCAATGCAGACAATTTCTGCTGTTTTAATTTTTCTTTTGCTGTTAATGTCCAAGTCTGGCACGGGTAACATAATGTTGGTATAAAAAACTGCCACTCCAACACTGGACTTTACAATCATCGCAGACAGCGTTTCCTAAACCAGCAGCACAACTTCATGGTCCCTAGGGACTGAAGGTTGCCTCCTAAGGGACAATCAGAAACTTAAAAGCTCTGGCGGAAAATTTACATATAGTAACTGAAAATTATGAGTATTTGGACTGGTGCGTATAAAAGCAAATTAATTATGCTGTGGTCTCGATATGGTGAACTTACTTTGATAGCTGTCAGTTTGATTCTCTGGACTTCCGCCTCAGCTTCTGCTGCCTTTTGAGTGAGCAATCTTGCTTCCTCGTCTAACACTGTCATCTTTTCATGAAGAAGTTCAGCTGCTTCCTCAGATCTCATCTTCAAGCAGGGATAAATTGATTAAAATAACAAGTGCTGCCATGATAGTATCTCAAAACTGAAGTTCTAGTACGAGATGTTGATATATATATAACTACAAGCAATAGAAAAACTACTCTAGTTATAATTTTAAACTTAGAAAACTCTACTCTTTAGTTAGCTATAATTTTATAAATTATAATACAACATTTTAGAAAAGTAAAAAAGAAGACAAGAATTAAATAATAAACTTTATTTTCAGATGGTTAAGAATTGGATACGCATTCTCGTCTAACATTCTGACTATCTTATCTCGATTTTCATTTACCACCTTATTCATTATATTAATATGTGCAGTAGAAATATGTCAGCAAAACACAAAAAATTGATGACTATATTATCTTTCCCAATAATAACAGGGGTAATCAAACTCATGGCCACAATGTTGTGGAAAATTTACTATAGAACAACAAGACAGAAGAGAATCGAGAGAGAGAGAGAGAGAGAGAGAGAGAGAGAGAGAGAGAGAGAGAGAGAGAGAGAGAGAGAGAGAGAGAGAGAGAGAGAGAGAGAGAGAGAGAGAGAGAGAGAAAAGGGAAGGACAGACAGATGGACAAACAGACAGATAGATGAATAGACAAACATACAGACAGGCAGACAGAACAAACATACTTTATTTTCAAAGGGTTAGGAATTAGGCACACAGGTCCATCTTACATTCTGCCCCTTTTTTGCCTCACTCTTTCAAACCTTTCATTCATATAGCATTTAACAGATAATAATAATAATAACAGTAGTATATTATATATATACTAAAAAACATAAATTACCAATGCCTCTTGTGACTGTCTGGCTTCATCTTGCAACTGAAACAGTTTTCTCTCCAGATCTTCCTTTTCCCTCTGAGCTTCCTCTCTCAGCTGCTTCTCTCTGGCCAGCAGAGATCTATCCATCTGAAAGAGTCATGTGATTAGTTGTTGCTGTCAATTCTCAAGAGTGAGATTTTCTTCTTCTTCACACTCATCAGCTGTAAACTCCAGCGGAAAGTTCTGGGTGTTTGTCCACCTCTGCACCTTAGTCTTGTTTCACAACCTGAGCGTTGCATGCACGTCTGTAACATAGCTCTGGCTTATTTGTATGCAGACTCTTGGTTCCTTTGCCCTCTCAAAACAATTTACATATTAGTATTGTTGCTCATCATTAACATGTGCCCTGCCAGATAGGACAGGAATTCAAGTCTCTGCCCAGGCTTTGGCGTTTGGTGTTCTGTATCAATTCTTATTCTTCACAGCATTCACTAGCTGTAAACTTCTGGTTGTTTGTCCACTTCTGGACTTCAATTTTGTTTCAGAACCTGAATTCTGTGTGCACATCCATTTTACAGATCTGGATTACTTGTATGCAGACTTTTGGTTCCTTGCCTTTTATACATGCTTACTGAGGGCAGTGGGTCTATGTTATTGCCTGCCAATGTTTCAAAGAATGCCATTTCTGATATGAATGTTTCAAATACCTCAAGACCAAGAAAAATTAGGCTAGATGGCCCAGCACATTGGTGTGGAGGAATACCATCAACAAAACTGATAAAAACCATCAAGGACCAAAATCCACTGGTGAGTCATGCCTTCTGTCAAGGCATATGACAATGATTATAAGCCTACATCAGAGGTTTAAGGTTTCAAACAACGGATCAACATCATGGCACACAAGTGAAACCCTTATGTGCTCCGTTCTTCTTCTAAGTCCAGTCAAGTCCAAAGAAGCTCAGCACAGTGCACAGGCTCTGTAACACCGGCGAGGATCTTGAAATACTTTGGGTAGATTTTTAACTCCAAATTTTGCTCGTGATTTTTTACGTGCGCAACAATGAACACGGGCGTCCAATCTCACTGCCCAGAGACCAGGGGGAATTACTAGAAGTCCAAGTCCACGTGAAAAAAAATTCCAGCCATTACCGGGGATTGAACCCAGAACCTCTAGCACTCGAGGGGGACACCATGCCTCGAGATACGCAGCCACCTGCCTATATCAGAATCTGTCAGTATTACAGATAGAAGGAAACCATAGTTTAGAAGAGACAGAGAAAGTGTACAAAATGTTCATCATCTTCTTGTATTTCAATCAAAAGGACCAAATTAGAGCAACAACACAAAACGCCACCCATCTATCCATCTCTCTCTCTCACTCAATCCTGCACACACCTATGCAGGCACGTGTATGCACAGACCCCCCCCCCCCCCTCCACCCATCCCACTCCTTTTCTCTGGTGTTCTGACAAGAAAATTTATATATGTAGAATAGACACAATATATGGAGTTGATTTCTGGCACTGTTCATTATGTGCACCATAAATGATTCCACTTATTTTACTTACCAGCTCATTGATTCTTGGTTTGGGTGCATAGAAGACAAAATCTGGCTCCTTTTTCCCAACATTTTTTATGGTAAACTGTGGAAATGGAGAAAGGTACAATACTGAAAACAAACTATTTTGAAAGAACAGTTAATTTGTTTTTAAATATTAAAAAAAAAAAAAAGTATTATTTTGGTTAAATTAAAATATATTCATTTTAGTCTGACCAAGACAAAGCATTCTTTTTCATTTTTGTATTTGTCTAACAGTAACCTCATTCAGTATGGTTTTCTTTAAGCAAGATCAATTCTCACAATATCTGTTTGTTTTCTACTCCTGCTATGAAATTCAATAAACCCAGATTTCAAAAATACCCATCAATCCCCACTGGTTCTGGGCCTCATTTGGCCTAAACATCATCCGATTTCAGCAAGTTCTTAACTAACTTAGAACCTCAACTTTAAACCAAAACATAGCCAGCCATCCTTTTAAGGGCAAAGGAAGAAAAGAAGAAGACATGTGAGAAGCTGCTTTATATTGTTGAATGTTGTTCTGCCATTCCTAATGGCTTGACTGTTTCTGCTTTACAGCTGTCTACATCCGTTTTTCATTGTCTTAGGTAACAAAAAATAATAGTATTTTTTTTTTAATTGAAAAAAACTACCGATTTTTTTTCAGGTGTCTTTTCACTCAATGATGTTTTCAAAATTGTCTTGATTTTCTCATTATTGATAATATAAATATAGGTCGTCATCATCATCATCATCACGTGGTAGGTCCTTTGCGGAATGTTGCCAGAAAGTCATCAGCCCTTTGCCAACATTTCCATCTCATGAACTTTCATGGTGACCTCTCGCTCTGCTTCCGTTATCTCCAGGTGACAGGGCTCTCTGCGGTGCACTATCTAGTGTTATAGGTCGTTATAGGGGCGATGCCTGCTGGTGGATGTAACGTCCTAAGTCCCTTCCCCAGCTAATAATGAGGGTACTGCTAGGGTGACCATTTATTAACCCTCATATAATTCTTCCGATCAAAATGGACGCTAGGCACGGCCACATTTTTTTTTTAAATTTAATATTATTTTTTTTTAAAGCCGTGGCAAATGTTTTTTTTCTTTTTTTTTTCCCCCAGACGGTGGCCGTTGCATTTTTTCTCCATTTGTAGACTGGAAGGATGTAGTTTCGTCGCCCAGCTTCTGAGTTGAGTGCATGGCGTGACACTGTGAGCTGCGTTTGTTTTTCGTTGGCACAGGAGCGGAGCATCTGTGGGGTGACCCGTTTGCTGTGTAGCTGAAACTAGGATTACCAGATTACCAGATTACCAGACTATCTAGTGGTTGTCTTGGCACATGACCAAATCATTTAATCTGTTGTCTATTGCTGTAGTTTAGCACTGGTTCCTTCCCAACTTCTTTCCTGATTTCGTCATTTCTGAACTTCTCTCTTCTAGTTACATTTAGGATTTGTCAAAGACATTTTATCTCTGTTGTTTTGATTGTTCTTTTTTTCGTTGTCATTAATGTCCGCGTCTGGCTCAGGTAACACAATTTAGTAGAAATATTTTCTGTCAGGGGCAAAATAAAAAACACAAAAAAAAATGTCTCCATCTGTATTCATCTGAAGATGTAAATGTGCTGTGCCCGTCTGCAACATGACTGCAATATTTGCGCCTTTTAGCCAACATATCCGGCTTTTGCAGGCACTGGTGTCGTTCCCAGTTTTAAAAAAAAAGAAATCATAACCTGTGCAGTTCATGATGAATGCACAAGCGTTGCGGCCCTAAATCCTCACACTGCCGACTCCCACTATCTGTCACCATCAAGTGGTAAACACAGACAGTAAAGACAGTTTTTAATGGCTGAATGATTGAATCACTTATTACAGCAGAACATCTGGGAGAAAGGTGAGAGGAAGACTAAGAAAGAAACAGATAAATGGTGTAGCCGAAACCTGCAAAAAGACGAACAAATCCATCACTGAAGCCAGCTGAGAAGCACAAGACAAATAAAAAAAAAACCCACGTCACTGGGCCACACCATGGTGAGATGACAAAAGAAGAAGAATAATTGAGTCACTCATTACCTTTTTGTCTTTGAATGATATATTTTTGATTTCGCTCCAGGGAAATGCAACTTTTGGGGCCAGCCTGTTATCTCTGTCATAAACATTTATCCCTCTTGCATCCACACCAATCCATAAGTCTGTGTTCTTTTTATTCTGTTAGAATGTAAAGTGATCATGACAGTGTGAACATCAGTGCACAATACTGACAGATGACATCTATAGTACGTCACAGATACCAGTATCACATATGACATCTAGGGTATACCAGTTTGACAGATTTACATCCAGAGTATAGTAGGTGTGTCACGTGACATCCAAGGTATACCAGTGTGACAGATGATCTCTGGGGTACACCAGCAGGACACAGGACATCTGGGGTATACCTGTGCGACAGGTGACATTCAAGGTACACTAACTAGTATGATACATGACATCTAGGGTATATTAATGTGGCTTCTGTGGCTTAAAGGAAATCCCTTCATAGGGCACTCCTTGACGTTCATCAGGGTTCGATTCCAGTGGCTGGTGGGTCAGAAAAAGAAAAAGCCCATTCTCATGGCTTTTAGACAGCGATATGAGCGTACCATGGAAGTTATTTGGACCTCATTTGCCACAGTAAGTAGCAGATACATTGCTACCAACTTCCCCTGCGGAGACGGCACCATTTTTTTTAAATATATGGCTTCAAGGCTAAAAATTGGACTTTTTCACACACACACACACACAAATATGTGTGTGTAAAGTAAGGGTCCCATTTAAATGTGTATGTGTGTAGTTGAAAATTCTAATTATAAAACAATTTTCCTTACTTTTATCTGAAAGTAATTGACTCCATACATCTCCAGATCTTGAGCTATCTTCAGATATTCAATTTCAGCCTCATCACTGAAGAGATTATAACATTTTAAATAATTTATGGCCTCACAGAAAAGTGCTGACATGGTATTCTATATACAAGTGAAATTTAAAAAAAACTGTAGAACACATATTTTCAACCAAGTTCAAATCGTTCCATGCAGTTTTATCAAAAAACATAGTCAGTGAGTATATGACAAAATAAAATTTATGTGCATGATGGTATCATCAAAAATTGTTGCACATACATTAAATGAAATAGTTTTCTGCATTCAGCTAGCAAAAAAATCCAGTGAGGCCCTAGCCTTTTTTGCGCCAAGAAGCTGCAAACCCAGCACTTCTGGTTGGGTCAAATTCCCCACAAATGTCCTAAAACTGGCCTGTCTGTAGTGACCTTTTTCCAAGAAGTGCAGTTTAATGAGACTGATTTTATTCGCATTTGTGCAGCATTTAGCCCAACACTCTCAAGGTGGACAGAAGAAACAGTTCAAGGACAACTTCAAAACCTCATTGAAAGACTTCTGTGTTGATCCTAAAAGATGCATGTGACCGCTCATCCTGGTACTCCTCTCTTCATCGAGGAACTGTGACTCATGAAGCTGCTAGAACTGCAGCAGCAATTCAGAAAAGACAAGCCAGGAAAGACACTGAAGCAAATCACCAAAGAAATGCAGCCTCAGTTCCCTGTCCATACTGCTCAAGAACTGTCAGAGCTAGAATTGGTCTTATCAGCCTTCTGTGCACTCACAAAACCTAATCCAATCACCAATAGGTGAAAAAACTGGCCATCATCACCTGTGATGGATAAACAACAACATTTACTGATCATAGCATTTTGGTGGTTTCCTTGTGAACCAAATGGCTTTTTGAAAGCCAAATTAAGGTCAAATTTTCCTGTAAGCCTCAGTGATAGAGATCACAGAGTCATGGTAGAAGACACCCAATATATATATTATTTTAGGCTCTGGGGAATATATTCCATTTAATGCTTCATTCTTTTTGTGTTTATTGATTACCGCTTTTATATAACTTTCTATATTTCCGCCTGTGAATCCTCACTAAATCTCAGTATGAGAATATATGATCTTTTTCTTCTTAGAGGTCACTGACAGCAAACTCCAAACATTTATTTTACAGATCTGGCTTATTTTTTTTGCAGACTAATGATTCTTTGTCTGTGAGACTTCAAAGAAACATCCCTAATTTGTCACCTTTTTTTTTTAGCAGTGGATCTGTTCTCTTCCCCCCCCCCCCCCCCATCCAAAAAATTAGGACCTGGAACCCGCAGGTTATAATATAATCTATATGATTATATGACTGTTGACCAACCTTGTCATATCCCGTCTTTTAGCATACCAGAATTTAATTTTCTCCTCCCACATGTCTGGTGTCATCTGGAATAAAAAGAAAAGTTATTACAATCAGAGAGAAAGAGCAAAGGGGAGGGGCATATGTGGAGCAAGGAAACAGGTAAGAATGTGTATGTGTGCGAGGTTGGTCTCTCTCTCTCTCTTCTCTCTCTCTCTCTTTCTCTCTCTCTAATATTAGTTATTTAGCAACTGTAGAAATGGAAGAAAAAAACAACAATGAAACAGAAGAACAATTTTTCAAAGAAATCAAACATTTTTATTTTCTTAAATACATTTGTACGTGCAAAAAACTACACAAATTTAGGTATCTGGTTAAAAACAACTGATACAAACAGACCATACACAGACATATGCAGGCACACACACCTACACTCGTAGAATAATTTACAGATGGCCATTATGGAAAAATTCATGAAAGTAACTTGAAACAACCAGGGTTGGAAGAGCTTTACATGTAACGGCTGAAGACCTATACTCCACTAGTAGCAAAGAGACAGCAGAAGAAGGAATGCAATGATTAAATCAAGATCCAGAAACTAATTTGCAAGTACTGAAAATAGGGCTCCAGCGTGATGTTGACCACATTACCCACTGAACGCAAATTAGTCTATAAAATGTAGGTTTTGCCTTAGATGAAAGTATAGAAAACGGTCCTTTACTTCTTTTAAAATTTTTTTTTGTTTACAATATCAGGGATGACGGCAATCTAGCTGATAGCATAATCACTGCCATTTTACCAAAGCCACCAAAGTGGAATTTTGGCGATTTTCACCTAAGTGCATTTCAGGGTATTTGTCACTTTACAATGTGCCAATATGGAGGTGGAGGCGGTCACTGCAGCTTTCCGCTGGCTAGAGAACACGAGACACAACACATCGTGATTGTAACTGATTCAGAAAGCATGCTGAGGAAGATCGGAACAGGTATGCTTCGTGCAGAGTGGCATGCTTCGCTGTGGAGGACACGAGTGAGGAGTATTGTCTGGATTATTTCACCGGGTCACGCCGGTGTGTTGGGAAATGAACAGGCGGACAGACTGGCTGGCTCTGCACAAATTAGTGGAATACTGATACATGATAAGGCAGACATGGTTAGTGCCTTGTGGGAGAGCGTGTACAGTTCGGAGGAGCAGATAGATCACCACAGTCTGGTGAGATTGATGCAGTGGGGAGTGACAAGAGGTTCTTGCATATGCTCGAGGCTCAGAGGAAAGGCAAGACTGACGTTTAATCAGAATGCTACTGGCACCATTAGTATCGGAACTCTTCGCTGGCTGCTGAAGATGGGGACGGAGCGCTTATGGGAATGCCCCGAGTGCTGTGATGTCAGTTCTTGAATCAAATCAAATCAATATGCCAAAGGCACACATCTGAATTACTACCCAAAGCAGGTTAAAATAAGTATTTATTTTTATGCATCTACACAATTTTCATTTACCACTTCTAGGAGAAATGAGATTTTCTTGAAATAAAGATTTAGTGCATAACTCTTCTGCCCCAAGAAGCCACACTTCCTGTTGGATCCAATTCTGTGTATATGTCACTTTTCCGACTTGTCTATAGTGACCTATTTACAAGATGCATAGTTACTGCTAGTTCACGCCTGTTCACGTGTTCAGAAGGTCGACGGGATATGAAAACATTTACTAACAACAGAATTCTGACAGGGGTGGGGAGTGTACTTGTCAGCTAAATAACTTTTTTAAAGCCAAGTTGACATCAGAGTTTTCCACCAGCCTCAGTGACAGAGGTCACAACATGGGTCATCCAGTATATTTTATAGGCCCTATGTGAAGTATTTCTATTTAATGTGTCACCCTGTTTAAATTTATTGATTACACTTTTCAAATTTGCTTATATATTTTGGAAAAAAAAAAACATATCTTTTCTAGTGTTCCTGGGGGCAAAAGGGTTAAGCGACTTTAGCATAGTCCTAATGATATTAAGAAATGAATTACTAAACTTTCTTGTTTGTTTGCTTTCATTGACTGTAAACTCTGGCGGAAAGTCCGGCTTGTTCATCCATTTCTGAACTTTGACCCTGAACAGAAAAGGTGAATATTCTCTTTGGAGTCAACAACATGCCAGCCAACTTAACTTGTTTGGACATAACTTGGTAGACTGGATCAATGAGGCAGCCATGGTAAAAAATGAAGAAAATAATCCAACGCTACATGGATTCGAACCCAAAACCTTCAGGCTGACACATGAGCATCTAGTCACTACATTACCACAGCTTCCATAACTAAACACAAACTATGACTAAAAAAGTGTACCTGATACTGATCAAGGACTCTCTGTGGAAGCAGGTCATCAGAAGCCAGCATGCCAGGTTGGTATGTGGCCTGATCATAATCTCCATACTTGGCCTGCACAGCAAAAGCAGCCAGCAAGACAGAAGTTTCTGGGGGGCAGTAGATATCCATGTTCAGAATTGACTGTTTTACCTGCACGTTTGGAGAAATGTGACCAAATTCAGCTTTGTGTTATTTTTATCAGAAAAATATCCCATTCCAAACATACCGTACAACAGTCTTGTCCATTTGGTCTGCATATATGTGGAACCCGCTTAAATCTTTCAATCCCAGATAGTGTTGAACTCCCCAGTGTCTACGCTAAAGTTTGTGTATCCTAGAGCAACAAATTATTTAGTCTCATCATCATCGATGTCCTGTAACACCGCATGTTTTTGGGTCACCAGCTGCTACTGATGGTCTATCAGCTCCTTTCACCTTTGACGGTCAAATGCAATGGACTTCATGGTTGCGAGCCCAAGGCCTGTCCAGTCAGTCAAGTTCTGTGTCCAGGTCTTTCTATGTCTGCTTCTTCTTCTCTTTCCCCAAAAATACTACAATTTGTAGTATTTTTTTCCGAGAGACCATTTGATCTTATTATATGTCGATACCCTTACATTTTCCAGATTTTCACTGAAGTTAGAAGAGGTTCATAGTTGCCAATAGTTTCACAAAGCTGAAAAATACAGCTCTGGGAGAGAAGCTGTTATAATAACAACTGTAGAATAAAGGGTTAACATGAATGGGATAAAAAAAAAAGTAAAAAAGTGTGAACCAATGATTAGTTCCTTGGTAGTAATGGAGTTAAGGAGTCTATGATTTTTGTTTAACCCTCAAATTTAGAATGCAATCCTTGTGATTCTAATATTTATAAATTATAATAAGTTCTTCACTGGATTATTAAAAAGAATGGGGCTTTCAACACAAACTGCCCACTACTAGAATTCACATTCATCATCGACAAAAGCAGTCACAACAAAATCAGCAGTTTGAACACACAATACTGCAGGAATCATATCGTCAGTCTGGTGACAACCTGTCATCTTCCATTTTCTGAATACGCAGTAGGTAACATAAACTATCGTGGACATAGGCAAGAAAAAAAAAAAGAACATTCAATGTTAAATCCACAGCTCAATCAGTAACTGGGCAATGAAACCATTTACTCTAACCAATTATGAGGAGAATGCATCAGCAAACAATAATCAGCAACAAACAACACTCTGAAGTTTTAACGGACTGCCTGCCTATCTGCCATATTGGACCAGAAGTCCACTTTTAAAACTAATGATGCACAACTCTTTATATATAATAATGTATACACCAGGGAAATACTTCAAGCAAGAAAGAAGTCGCAAACCTGCAAAAAGAACAGATGTTGTGTTATCTCCTGAACCAGCTCCTCGGAAACATCTTCGGGATAAAACTTGACCAAGAAAGTGAAGTGAATCTGAGATTCCTTTGGTATGCCTTGATCCAGCACCTTGAAGAAGTAAATAATCAAATAATGACGAGAAACACTTTATAACACCGTTAAAACTTGCAGGCATATAGAGTAGTACATAGTGGTATGTATTCTTGCCCACTGTGACAGTGGTCTGGATTCAAACCTCAACAGCGACCGGGTGTTGTGTTTTCTAGTCAGTACTGTATTAGCAGTGAGGTGAAGAAAAGATACTGATGTTGGAAAGGACATATACTGAGAAAACCTGACAGCAATATAACAAGAATGTCTTTGCACTGGAACCCACAGGAGCATGGAAATAAAGGTGGACCAAAAAACACACGGAGAAAGGGGCTAGAGAAGGAAGTTAAACAGATGAGGAGGACATGGGGAGAGCTGCATGTCATAGCAAAGGGTAGGACAACTTGGTGTAAGGTGATTGAAAGCCTATGCTCCGGGGGGGGGGGGGGGGGGGGGTGGGGGGGGGGGGGGGGGGGGGGGGGGGGGGGGGGGGGGGGATAAAGGACAGAAGAAAATTTTATTAACATTAATTCAGCTGCATTAACATGGCTCCTATACATTTAAACTAGTACATCCTCAGAAGTAAAGAAGTGAGAAAGGTAACTGGTCACCCACCTCACTGTGAAGCCCACATTATACGAAGGCCTAATATTTTAACCCTTTCGCCTCAAGAAGAAAAAAAAATAAAACAAAAAACTGGTACTTCTAGTTAGGTTAAATTCCCCGCAAGTGTCTTTTCTGACCTGCACATTGTGACCTGTTTACAAGATGTATAGATAATGCAAATGGCTGCGTTCACGCCTGCACAGTGTTCAGGAAGTCAGGATATTATTATATTAACTAGCATTAGCATTTAGAGGGCCTTTGTGCTGTGTGCTGAATGCTTTTTTAGGCCAAGATGACATGCTTTTCTAATAAGCCTCAGTGTAAAGGTCACAGGGTCACAGCATGAGTTACCCGATATGTGTGTTTTTTCTCGGCCCTGTCGATGTATTTATTCAATTTAATTTTCTCTTTTATATATTTAAATTTTAAAATGTTGATAAATACATTAGTGGGCAAACCATTTAATTTGCTGTCTTTGTATGCAATTTAGAAGTGGTGATGTGCTGACTTGTTCTCTTATGACCTCATTCCTGATTTTATCTCTTCTGATCACTCCTGCAGTCCTTCTCAGACATCTCATTTCCATGGTTAGTAATTTTCTTTTCTGGTCTGTTTTGAGTGACCATGTCTAACACTGATAGCATCAGGTGGAAATGAATATGCTTTGTATGAGATGTTTTTTTAATGCTGGTCAGGACTGCTTATGCTGTATAAAAAAAGGGGTGGGGAAGCCAGCTGTCCCAATAGTATTATTAAATTACTTAGTGGTTAGTGGAATAAAAAGTGGTTAATATCTCTGGTTTTTGACTGGTTCGACATCAGAGCCAATGTCAATTTAACGGAGATTTGAATTCAAATACATGACCACTAGACTGACACGCAAAGGTGTTAGCTGTAGTGCTACTGCACCTTCCACCAAACCTGACAACCCATATTGTGCCAACGGATTCAGGTGGAGGACCACACTGGTGAGGTCACTAGCTTTATCCTAGTAAGAAGAAATGTAACCTAAAAATGTATCATCATGACAGGGCAGACCAGGTCCTTAGCTATGGGCAGGAAGTAGTCTGGGGGGAAGCTCTAACAGGTGAACAGACAAAGCACTGATCTTCTGACCTAGCTGAGGTGCTGCTACCTTTCCCCTGGAACCAGTCAAAGATTATCCTCATTGCACACTGAACCATTCTGTCCATAAAAGCCTCCTTAGTAAACCCTGCAGCATGTAATGGCTGACGACACCAGTTCTGTGTTGGTTTCTTATTCTTCTTTTGCTTCCTGCATAGTGCTCTTGTTTAGCCAAACCCATTTAATTTGCTGTACCTAACCCTATCTGTACGAATTAAGTCCTCACTTGGTTCACAAAAATGTCTTACTTTTCACAGAGCATTCAGTATATCAGCCTAGTCCATGGTGTGTACGCCCTCAACATTAACCTTACCTGCAAACTTATCAGCTTATTCATACATATCCTTGTACACCCTTAACCCTGGCATACAAATGAAACTGACCTAGAAGTCAGTAAAACAAATAAATCTTTGTCACACTCTGAGGTGTATTAGTATCACTGAGCTAGCCTCACATAGTTATAAAATAAAAAAAAAAAGTACTTTTCTCCATGAACTTATGCGTAATAGATATATAGTGAGTGCCTTATAGTCTACAGACCAATTGGTATTCAGTGGATGATACAGTCATCATTATGCCCGTGTCTTTATTTCCCAGGAGTTTACCTGAACCCATTTTTAGTTAGGTTGACATGGGAGCTAAGGTCATTTCTGAAAGAAAATATCTGACTGTAAATTCAAGTATCTTCTAGCTAATATGCCTCAGTGACTCCACCCCATGCCACCCCCCCCCCCCCCCCCCACTACAGTAAAGAAAATAAATATCTATATGGTTCTGACTATAACAAATGTCAGAGAGGAAAAAAAAATCCACACAAACAAGTGTGATTTCAAGAAACGCTACAGAACAGGCATGACTAACATGCAGCTTTCTGCAAGTACACCTGTGGCCCATAATAAACATATTCTGCAATAACCTTTATTAAATGACTTTAATTAGGTGTTGTGTAACAGTGCGGAGGCGCAGATAGATCATTACGGTCTAAGGAGAATGGTGCTGCAAGGATTTACCAGGGGATCTGGCCGGTGCTCAACACTCAGGGGAAGGATGAGACGGATATACAATCAGACTGTTACTGGTACCATCGGAACTGGAACTCTTCGCTTGCTGCTGAAGATGGGGGACTAAGCACTTATGGGAGTGTCCCGAGTGCTGTGACGCCGATTCCTAATTCAACATTCAATTAGGTGTCGTGTGTGGCTCTCATGATGATTCAAATACGACCCATTTGACCTTGGGGGGGGGGGGGGGGGGGGGGGGGGGGGGGGGGAGGGGGGGGGGGGGTTGGTTGGGGGTGGGGGGGGGGGGGGTGGGGGGGGGGGGGGGGGGGGGGGGAACCTTTAGACATGCCTTCTACAGAACATATATCTACACAACCACAAATATGATCCTACCTTTTTATCAAACTTCAGCCAAGCTACATAACCTTTGGAATCAACGTACTGCAGCCCAAAGTACCAAGTTTCTCTCAGGCCAATCGTTCTTCCAACTAAGTCAAAGAGTTCCTTGCCAGTTGTTTTGGGCTAAAACATATTTTAAACAATGTCTGATTAAAAGACAGCTCTAAGAGTCAGGTGATATCTGCATCCTAACACTGAAGGGAAAAGACTAATTAAACTGGCCGATTATGTTCAGAATGGCATTTACATTTGCTGGTGCAATCCCAGCTTATGCGACTGACTGTTTGCCAACAGTGAGCTGTATTTCCGGTGTGGGGCAGTTAGTGTTGGCACATCTGACAGCTGCCTTATGCCTTTTTATTTACATGTGCAAGCTGCAAGATTCCATTGGGTCTGACAAGTTTTTCGCTAGTTTACACATGGGACAGTGACGGACATTTTGTGTGATTTCCATTGACACAGGAACGGAGCAGTTATGTGGTGACTCGTCTGTCGTGATGTTGGAATCTTGACTCAAGACTAATTAAATATTAGAAAACTCTACATAATCTTTATAATTGTTTGCAGATGAGAAGCTACTTAGGTAGCAAGCAGAAAGCACAATATATAATTTCTACAAAACTGAGCAAAAGAAGAATCACTGCATAAGTAAACAAGAGGTTTCTACATAATCTCTATATAGTAGAATTTACTGACTAAATGCAAATAACACAAAATAATCATATAAAAGAGCCTCCCCCCCCCCCCTCCTTTTTTGGTAAAAACAAACAAACTGGTCCTTGAAATAAAATCTGTCTCCAAGAACATTCTACTTTTTGTTGTAAGGTTTTCTCAGTGTGTGTTCTGGAGGCACAGATGGATCATTACAGTCTGAGAAGAATGGCACTGCAATGAGTTAACCAGGGGATGTGGCTGTCGCTTAACACTCAGGGGAAGGATGAGACGAATATACAATCAGACGGTTACTGGTGCCATTGGAATTGGAACTCTTTGCTTGCTGCTGAAGTTAGGGACGGAGCGCTTATGGGAGTGTCCCGAGTGCTGTGTTGTCAATTCTTAATTCAACATTCAGTGGTGTTCAATCCAAAGATGGCATCGGCTCCTCACTTCTTAATTCAAGGGAATTAGTTTAGTTCTTCCCTAAAGCGCTACATTAGTGATTATGTCACACCATTTAATTCCTTCTTTTCTGGGCAAGTGCCAATAATGAATGTTTGTAGTTTACCAGTAACTGTTTAGTCATGTGGGACTGATTGGTCTTAAGGCATGGTGTCTACCTCTAGTTCTGGAGGTCCTGGCTTTAAGCCCCAGTGAAGGCTGGGATGTTTTTCCACGTAGACTTCTAGTCATTTTGCCTGCTCTCTGGACAGTAAGATCCGACGCATGAAATTGGCAAAATTTGGAGTTTTTGCACTGCGCTGAGATTCTTCGGACTCAGGCTTATGTCAGAAGTAGAACAGAGCAAGGGTTACCCCTTGTGCCATGATGTTGATCCGTTGTCTAAACCTGTTTTAGTCGTATCCATCTTTCAGCTCCATACTAATCTGGTCTCAGAGCTAAACATTTTCAGCTTGGCACTAGTTTTAATTTCCTTTCAGTTGCACAGATTTCCAAATGTTTTTAAAACTCTGCTTGCCATTTGTGATTTATTTCTGCACTGCTCTTATCTACATTGTTAGCCATGATAGCACAGTGGCTAAATGCTTATCTGCTGACCACAAATTTGAGTCTGAATCCTCACTATGCAGATTTTGAAACACAAACACACACACACACACAACTAACCTAAACACCCAGGTAAACCCAGGCTAAAATAATTAAAAATAATAAACACAAAATTACAGGATGTGAGATAAGAAAGAGACGAACACTGTAATTTGGCTACATAATGAGAAGAGAGACATTGGAGAACATCGTGACAAGTGGAAAGACCAGTGAAAAAATGGGTAGAGGCAGACCAAGAGAGATGATGCTAGATGGGCTGAAACGATGGCATGGAAGAATATCATCAAGAGAGCTGCTCCAGGCAACCAGCAATCGTGATCTGTGGAGATGCATGAGTGCCTATGCCAGTTGGCAGGGCCCATGATGATGAGATGTATAATAAATGTGGTGGGAAGTCACAGAGTCAGCAACAAAGAACTAAGAACAATGGTAGGCACTGTGTCTAGGGAATGGGAGAATGTTTAGCTGTACGGCTCGTCCATAGTGTGGAACGCTGTAGTCCTTGGAGCTGTAGTAGTCAAAGAAAGGCCGCTACAAATTGAGAGATAGAGAGCGAGTGAGGACAAATGGACGATGTGCGAATGTCAGCTGTGATCAATAACTATGTCTCTGCATTTGTGTCAGGTATCCTGTTAAATAAACATGTATGATGTGTCATCGTCGTCGAGTTCTATTTCTAAGAGAGGAAGCTGAAGAGTACCTGCTAGATACTTGGTAGTGTGCTGACTCATTTAGCACACATCACTGACCAAGAAAGATATGGGTGGATAAAGTAAAAGAGACACTACAGAAACACAAAATGATAGTAACACAGGCTACACAACTAGCAAAAGATAGGAAATCAGTCTAACTCCTTTCTGTGATGCTTCACAGTGTAAGTAGTAGAACATAAGAAAGAAAGCAGAAAAAAAATTGTAAATTTTTTTTTACCTCAATCTTAAATTCCAATTCTGCATCCATTGTGGTGACCTTGACAGACAGCAGTTTGGCATTCCCTTTGGATGCCTTAGTCATGGTCATTTTCGGCATCTTGCACTACAGCTGACACTACAGCAGAGACGCCAGTCTTTTCTTCTATATTCTCGCAAGTTTTGCTCAAGCTAGCTCTTCAAAATCATCTTACTCTTCCATATATTTCCACATCTGCATAAAGATTTTAACACAAACATATGGCAATGTCAGCAACTGTTTTAACAAAGGGAATCATGCTGTTTTTAGTATCATGCCACAGGATTATGTGGGTGGTTTGTATGTCGATCATAGGTCATGGGTACCACTCAAAATTCTCTTTAGATAAAAAAAGAAGGCATACGATTATAAGTATAAGGACTGATTGATTAATCAGTCTGTCCTCTCTGGGCTGCTGCCTAAAGATTTACTAAACCTTTATGAGATTTACAAATCTCAGTCTGGATGGCAGACCTACAAGGCAGATCTGATATAACCTGTTCAACCTACAAAAAAGATATAATCAGGGCACCTGCACAGCTACACAAGCCAGGTGTAACTGCAATCCTATACCAGTAAGGAGTAGTAAAAAGACTGCTAGCAAGTCTGATTAGAGGCCAGTTGGAAGGGATGAGATTTACCATAATGTTCTTTCTAGCTGCCCTCATTTCTCTGCCAAGCAAATTTATACACAAATTGAACTACAGTTTAATTAATTTGCAACATGTGTTATTGAATGAATTTATTATTCTGAAGATAAATAAATGGGCCATTAGAACATTGTTATCTTCAAAATGATAATTCATTAAAAAACACATGTTGCAAGTTAATTAAACTGTAGTTCAATTTGTGTATAAATCTACTAGATAACAATTGTTACCACCAACCGGCCACGCCAGCCTCACAAAAACAGGAATCAAGTGTAATGGTGGACTGGAAAGAACAGAAGCAAAGGGTACGTTACCAGGAAACAAGGACAGTGGTCTACCAGCACAAAGATGGGCACAGGATATGAAAGACATCCTGGGTAGGAAAGTGCAAGCATAAGGAGAGAAAGCTACTGAGACAAAGTTTCTTTATTGTGAGGGCCCTTTGGGAGCGAGTGAACAGTGCGGGGGGGGGGGGGGGGGGGGGGGGGGGGGGGGCGCAGCTAGATCATTACAGTCTAAGGAGAAATGCGCTACGAGGAGTTACCAGGGGATCTGGCAAAACGCTCAACACTCAGGGGAAGGTTGAGACAGATATACAATCAGACGGTTACTGGTACCATCAGAATTGGAACTGTTCGCTTGATGCTGAAGATGGGGACTGAGCACTTATGGGAGCATCCAGAGTGCTGTGATGTTGATTCTTAATTCAACATTTAAAGTTTCTTTCAGGCAGGCTGCAATAGGAGAGGTGTTCTGCAAAGCATTTGACACATGTTGATGACACTCACTCACTTCTAAGTACTGCCTAGACTTACTAAGTTTACTGTGTCTAACTACTATCATGTTAAATAATGGTTCTGTATTTAACTCACATATACTGAATAAATATGGTTTGGTACTTATTTATTATTAATAATAATACAGAGATTTATTTTGGGATGTCCTTGTCTGGTATAAATGGAACAATGCTAGATTGTGTAAGAGCTTTTTTATACAGAAAGTGAAAGTGCCATCAGAACAAGAGCTGGCCTCACAGACTGGTTCCCAGTAACATCAGGAGTAAGGCAAGGGTGTGTTCTTTCACCTTTACTTTTTATATTGGTCATGGACAGTATTATTAAAATAGAAATAACGCCACCAGATGTCGATAACCTGGAGGACTTCAATCAATAAGCTGCTCTTTGCCGATGATCAGTGCATATACCAGTGAAAGAAAACAGCTTCAGGATCACATTAACCAACTACACAACAGTTGCCTTAAAAATCACATGAAGATTGATACTAAAAAAAAAAAGTCATGAGAATAAGTAGAGAGCTACAAGCCATCGACATAAAGATTAATCAAAGTCTGAAACAAGTACAAGAATTTAAATACTTAGTAAACACTTTACATTCAATGGTAAAATAGACAGAGAGATAGAAATGAAAAGCCAACAATGTCACATACCAACTTGCTTCAATTTTAAAACACCCTGCTATCTCCCCCCCCCCCCCCAAAAGACAAATTATAAATTAAATGTTTATACCGACTTTAGTTTACCAATGTCAGACTTGAACATTGACAAAAGAGCATGAAAGAAAACTAACCACATAGCTGTGAAAAAACCCCAGAAGAGATAGAGTGAGAAACGACTTGATTACGAGGACTGTTGAAACAACACCCATCGTCAAATTTATTAGCAAACTAAGAATGAAATGGTTTGGCCATCTATTGAGAATGAAACCAACGATGCCAGCAGCAAAAGCGTATAATCTGAAAATCACAACACCAAGAGACAGGAGAAGATCGAGAAGAAGACAGACTGAAGGAGTCACTGAAATCTTGAGACTGCATAACATCACGGCATTTCAAGCCACTGAGCGCGCCCTGGCTCAGCTGCCAAATGACTGAAGAGCTGCGATGCCTAGTGGGATAAGCAGATATTGACAAAAGAAGAATACACTTGTCAACAGTAGTTGTTGTTCTATATTTAAACAGATGTTATTTGTACACTACTTTTTTTATTACAAATAAAATGTAGGCTATCCTCTGAATAACGGTCCCAAATTATGGAGGCTGAAAATATACCCTAACAGGGCCTCAGTCACATGTAAATTGCGGACCTCTTCCAGCGACTACACAGCATATCGGGAAAAAGTTTCCTCCAAGTTGAAGTCACTGCCGAGAGTATCTCCCACGCTGCAGAGTGGAGCTAAACTAGATGGATGGGACACATGAGCAGCAGCTACTGCATCTCATGCAGCTTCCTCCAATTTTTTTTGCTTGTGAGTCCCAGCCATCGAGTTTAGCCTCACTCTGTGCGTGTAGCGGCGCGGGAGATACTCTCGGCGGTATACTGTGTAGTCGCCAGAGGAGGTGCGCAATTTACAGGTGACTGAGGCCCTGTTAGGGTATATTTTCGGCCTCGATAATTTGGGACCATTATTCGGAGGATAGCCAAAATGTAAAATGTATTAATTACAAAGGTTGTGTAGGTCATTTTTTCTTAGCTAGCGGGTGTAAACTTATGAGGGGAAGTCAATAGGTAAGTCGCAAATGGTTATGGGATGGAAGGAAAATGTTGATGGTTTCTAAAAGTGTCATTAGGTGACAGCAACATCCAACTTTATGTCTCCATTTATTAGGTGGCACTAGGTGTTGAAAGCACATTCGCAACACAGAAACAAAATGGCGACTGCACTTACGGAGTGTACCCTCACATAACAATGTACTGTTGTGCGGTTTTTTTATTTTTGGGTGGGGGTAGGGAGGGGGGGGGGCAAAGGGCTGCCTGCAAAAGACATCCATAAGGAAATGCTTCCTGTTTATGCTGACAAATGTTTATCCCATAAAGCTGTGCATAACTGGGTAAAAAAAATGTTTTCAAGGAGGCTTTAAATTATTGATAAAGTCCGATCTGGTGGTCCTGTTTAGACTGCAACAGATGCATCCGTGCAGCGAGTGGGGCAGAGGTGACGGGTGAGTAACAGTTGACTGACTCTGTAGCAGCTGCAACAGGGTGCTCACATGGTTCAGCATACAACATAATGCATGATCGTCTTAAATTTAAGAGAGTGTGCTCAAGGTGGGTACCCAGACAACTGACGGACACTGACGGACAAACACAAAATGAACCGATCATGTATGTTCTTGCAGCATGACTCAGTCAATATGCAGATGAAGGAGAAGACATGCTGAGCAGGATTATTACTGGGGATGAATCATGGGTGCATCACTACCATCCCAAATCAGAGTGTGCTTCAATGCAATGGAAACATCCTTTTTCACCTTGTGTTAACAAATTCAAGGTAATGCCGTCAGCAAGGAAGGTTATGCTGACAGTATTCATTCTGGGATTGTTAAGGAGTGCTTTTAATCAATAAAAAAAAACAAAAAGAGGTGACAATGTGAATGCTGATTCATTCTGTAAAGTTGTGTCGATGCTTCATGATGTAATTCAAAGAAAATGTCAATGCCTGCTGACTAGAGGAGTACTGCTCCTTCATGACAATGCCAGACCACATACTGCTCTGTTAACTATAGAGAATTAGCATCTAAGGTGGGAACTTCTGGAACATCCACCTTACAGCTCTGACTTAGACTCTAGCGATCTGTACATTTTTGGTCTACTGAAAATCCAGCCACCTTGGCGGCAGATATTTCCCTAATGGCGCAGAAGTTAAATTTAAATGTGAAGTGAAAATGTGGTTTAGAAAATTGAGCATGCAGTTCTATGCAGCAGGTTTAGGAGGACTGATAAAACAATTGGACAGGTGCATAAATGTTGGTGAAAATTATGTGTATGTTTGAAAATAAACGGTTTTTAAGTTGTTATTTTCTCAACTTTTATTTTTAAAAACCATTTGTGACTTACTTATACTTATTGACTTTCCCTTGTATAACTCCGGCGGGGAAGACGATGATGAACAACAACAGCAACAATAATAGCAACAACATACACCAGACAGCGGCTGAGGTACAGGGCCTTGTGCCTTGTCAGTAAATATTATTTATAACGAAATGATTATCATCACATTTTAATTTTGTTGACTGACTCACTGCTAAGACTAAGAGTAGCGATAACAATCTCCAATGTAAACAAAGCCAAAACGAAAGTTGCGCAATTTGGTTGCGCAGAGGGATCCGCGGACCCGTGAAAATGTTTTGTTTCATAACGAATTATAAATTAATTTTTTTGATTGCGATTCTAGCAGTTCAGAAGTGATGACATGCGCTCTTGGTCATTCAGAAGAGGCCACTCTATCGAACGACGCCTAAATTAGATAGCGATCTTTACTGAGCGTAATAAATTTCACTATTTGTCATGCGGTAACTAAATTTCATTAATATCTCCTTTTTAAAGTAAATATATATACTATTAAGTGTCATTTTTGGATTCTGTGTCCATTTTTACATAAAGATGTGCAGTTTTGCTAGAATCTGTATATCAC